AACGATCTGACAAAAATCACAACAAACATAGTCAAGCAGTGCTGAAGGCATACAGCCAAGCACTTACATGTCAAGCAATTCACAAAACCTCAGCTTTTCTTCTTTGTGTGCATGCACTCTGATATAGTATTTATAACTTTCTGTTCTTGCTGAGTTATCATAAACTGAAACTGAAAAACAGAGCAGAATTAAAACTGCAGGGACAAAATAAATTCTAGCATTTTCTAGCTTTAGTTAATGCTGTAGCAAGTAAGTATTAGGTTTTATTTTTGTCACATTACCATCAACGCACTTTGTTGGTTATGGCTAGTCAACACTTCCTATTTTAAGGCCACAATTTCAGTTACTCCAAGTTTGCTAAAAACTTTCCTTTGGAGTATTACATATACTGCGCCTCCAGTTGATTTTTAGGAAAAACAGAACAAGAGTGACACAGTCATTTCTAAGAATGATGATGAGGAACATATGCTGCTTTAATTATATTCAAAGAATTCTTAAAAAAACTTTTATAAAGAAACTCTTAACTTCTTCACATTTCAGAAACAGGGACATGAGATTTAGCACAGAGGCTGTGCTGGTGTCACTATTGGACTTTTTGCTCTTCCTTTGAAAACGTATCTGAGCATGCGTTGAACCTTTGAAAAGATTGAACTTACACACGCTTGCCAGACTTGCTCAGTAGCCAAAGTTATCAGCTTTCTCTCCATCGCACATACTGCACAGAGTGAGCTGGATGGTCCCCGGAGCAGGGGGCTGATTGCCAGGCTGCCACACACTAAAACTGAAACAGCATAGGTTATTTCTCCTCTGGTTTCAGGACTCCTGGGATTTTTCACTACATCAGCACAGAATAAAGTACCACCCAGTTCAGATGCAGAGGAAGCAAAGATGGATCTCGGTGAAAAAAAAATGATGTGAGTTATCAGAGAAAAAAAGATGACATGCAAGAGTGACATCAGATGAACAGAAATGAGGTGTGAATAAGAAGCAAGGTTGGGTGAAGAAAGCAGGATGATTCAGACAGGGTCTTCCCAGCAGAGAGGAACTGCCCAAGGATAAACAGTCCTAGTTTGATTTTTTTGATTTCTATCAATTTCTTGAAGGTCAGACAAGCTGTATCTTCTGGAACAAGACAGAAATCAGTCCCCAAAATACTGTTTTGCTAAGATCACCCCAGAAAAATACACAAGGTCCAACAGCCTGGAGCCCTTGGGCCATCCTCAGAGCTTGGCACCCCAGGGGTACACGATAGCCGAAGAAACCCTCGGCCACAGGGAAGGGGCATCCTGACCACAGCATGCTGGGAGGCAGCAAGGAGAGGTCTCAACAGCCCACCGCTCCCCTCCTTCTCAGCCCCAAGGTGGAAGACATCCCCACTGTACTCTGCTTAGTCCAGCACAATTTAGGGAAAGGCAGAACAGCAGCAGAGCTGGCCAGGAAGCAGGGGCTGGTCCCCCCAGCCCCTTCAGGTTGGGGGTCAGGGGTGGCAGGCAGCACAGGGCTACAGCCGTGTTTCCCAGCCGCCCGCCCTCAGAGCACTGCAGCGGTGCAGTCACATGCCAGCACCGTCACAGTACACGCAGCTCTCAGCCCCCAGCCCGCCCCCGGGCTTACAGCAGGAAACCCTCCCCAGCGTGAGAAGCCTGGACCACAGCCCCCCTTCACCCCACTGGGGAAAGGGCATGCAGCCTCCACAGTCACTCTGCGGTGAGCAGGTGGAGGGACAAGGCTGCAGCCCGCTGGGGTGGTCCTGGGGGAGAGGAAGATGCCTGTTTTCACAGAAGCAGGTTACTGCCCAGGCTGAGGTGCCCCTAAAGGAAATCAAGTGGCCGTAGGGGCCAGGGCACAGAGCGTCCCCAGCCCAGAGTGGTTATTAGCCCCTCGGCTGCGCGCAGCTACAGAGCACGCTACAACCACAGCTTGTCAGTTACTGGAATAACGCACAGGACCAAACTCCTTATAAGAAGTGCGATGAGGTAATTGCAAAAACACAGCTAGGAGTTTTCGCTTGCGTTTTTAGGCTAAACAGCTTATGTCACCAAGTATTACATAAAGGCAATATTAATAAGCTCCCTCCCTCCCGAAGTCAAGATTAACAATTTCAAGATGCACTTTTTTCCCCCCTCTTTGCTTTACTCATTAAGGCAAAATACTCTATTACTTTCTCTCTTAGTTTCTACAGGGATATCCATTGCAACAGCAGAAGTGTAGGTAACTCCACATTAACTGTTTCTTTGCTTGTACCTAACAAGTAAAACCACTGGAGACATTAATTCCTGCAAAGGAATTGCTTGCCTAAAGTTACTAGCCACACACAATTTCAATACAAAGCTGCTCATCTTTGAGGAGATCAGTCAGGCATCCCTCACCCCTTCCATCTGGACCTCCAAGCCACACATACAGCAACAGGCTAAGAAAGCAGATAGAAAACAAAGTTTGCAGGAAGTCTAATATCAAAGAGCTTCCCTCACTGTCTTTATGCATGAGTAACTTTCCTTTGAATCACTTTAACAGAGGACTTGCTCCATAAACAAAGGAAACATTTAAGTTGAATTATTCCAGTTTAAATTTTATTTAAAACAGCTAAAAATCTATCTGCTTAGTCCTGAGGTGGTATCGAACTTCTAACATCCAGGGTCCAAACCAGTGGTGTCACTCTGCAACTGCCAGGCGTTGAGTCAAGAATATATTAAGATAAAATGTGTAATCTCACCTATGTTGGATCAAACTTGAGAAACTAGTAACCTACATTCTTCATAAACATTCTTTTTAAAACCCTGAGAGTGAAGAAGAAAAAAAGAGCAATTAGAAGATAACTGCAAACCAAGAGTTAAAAAAAAAAATCTATGCAAAGGCATAAGCTAGGTTAGTTTGAGACTAGTTGCATAAATGCACGTGCTGACAGAGGTGAAGGGCAAAACAGCCCTTAATAGTCTTGGAATACTCAAGTGGAAGAATCTGTTTAAAATCATGGTAAATATTACAGGGTTGTAAACTATTACAACACACTTTTCATAGTTGCTTTACTATTTAGCTCATCACCTATTTCAGCTTTAATTCCTTCAAATTCATGCTGGATTTTTGTTTACGCAGGTGCTGAAGTTATATACATACTGTAACTAGTACATGGACTTGACAATATTCAAATACCATGGTTTTAAACACAGGTCACAAGATTGAGGTAACCATTTTATAAACTCAAGGTGTAGATCTGCTAAAAACCACTGAAGTAACATGGGTTCTGTTTCTTAATTTTAACCTGTGACTAAACCTAAGCCTTGCAGTCTAAGTTTTGGGGTTTGTTGTTTGGTTTTGGTTGTTTGGGGGTTTTTTGAGGGTAGAGGGAAGAATAAGACCTCTCAAACCCACTAAAGCCAATTTTTTAGGAGAGAAATTGCACTTGAAGCAAGCTGGAAACCAGAGGTAATAAGGAAAAAACTAAGTATATTATGATAAATACAGTCATGGTTTCTCCACAAGTTTGTAATACAAGCCATAGGGAGAATGCTAGAGAATTAAGACCTTACAAGATACATGTCTCCTCTTATTCCTTTACAGTCCTTCAGTCTTGTCACTATGGTTTTAGGCAGATACTTGATGATCAGAGCTCAAAATTGCTGTTTAAGCCAAGCAACTAATTTTAAAAGAATTCAGGAATATCTGTTGTCCACATAGCAAACTGGGACTTCAGCTGTCACAGTTTGTAAACTGCACTATTCAGAGGGCATTAATTCTAAACCTGGAAACAATAGAAGCAGGAAAGCAATGTTCCTAGCCTCCTCAAATTTACTCTAGCATGGTATCATTATGTTGTAGAACTTATTTTTTGTGGCACTGCCTCCTCACCCCCCCCCTTACATTTGGTTTTGTTGTTTGGGTTTAAGCAGATGCCATCTGCATTAAAAAAAGAGACTTAAGCTATTAAATTTCTCTTTGGAAGATAGTATTTTACAGTACATACAAAAATACTCTGGAAAAAACATACAGCTTCATTTACAAAAACACCAAATTTTAAAGAAATTACAATAGATAGCATGACATTTGTTTCATATTATCAGAAGTTTTTCCCATCTCTCAAAAAACCCTAATGTACTTAATTGGGTAAGCAGTGTTATCAGTTTACAGAACCAGACTTAAGACTGCTACAAGTTTTCATGTAACCATTTAGAACAGCTTTCAGGGTTTATCTGAAACGACTTTCTGCATGCCAGCTGCTTCCAAGACTGCAGCTTGCAGGTGGGTAGTAGTGTTACAACAGCCTCAGCTGTTGCAATGTTTAAGTACCTCTTTAGCTGTGTGTTCTGAGTTTAACTTTACTACCCAGTGACAACAAAAAACCCTCAAGTCTCATGCTGGAGCAGTCTTAAGACAAAAAAAATCAGATGACATGGCATGGGACATTTCATCTCCATACCTTGGTAGCATCCTCTGCTGTATTTTCTTCAATATTTAAATTATTTCTGGGCCTCCATGGGAGGCAATACTTGTGTAGTGCATGGCTGTGCTAGACAGTGGAAAGCTACTAGCTGAGGAAGCTGAGCACCATTGTGACAGATGCACAGGAGTGTATGTGCCAAACGGGAAAATAATTTAAGATAAGAACAATATATGCACATGAATTAGGAAAGCACAAATACAAGCATGTTCATATACACTTGAAACCAGAATGTGGTTGCAGTGACTAGTTAACCCTGTTTACATACATTCCGAATCCAAGTCACAGGACAGGTTGTTTTTTGTGGCTTTTTCAAAAGCTGTTTCAGCTAGTGACAGTTAAGACTTTTAAAAAGACTAATAAGGATAACTGTTACAAGAACATGCAAAGAGTAGTTCAAAAGGAAGCAAGCATCTAACAATACTATAAAATAAGACCATGATTTTAACTGGCCAATGGCAGTATGGCAACAGTAACGTTCCATACTGTGTTAGTAACTACAATACACATTGATAATATGGACCACTGAACAAGCAATTATTGTCTTTACCTGAAGAGATACTGGTTAGTCATTAAGGGTAAGTTTGATGGATCTTTTAACGACAAGAATGCTATCCGTTGGAACAGGAGGTGATGAATCCGGTAGTTCTTTAGTGGAAAGCCTCTACAACACACAAAAAGATGCCACAGAAAAAAAAAAGTGTTGAATTCATTAATTCAGGAATAGCAGCAGATAAACCCTTGCCTAGCTGAATTTAACAACATTCTTTATGTACCAAAACAGTATGGCCCAAACCCAAATATTTACAGTGAAGGAATTTTTTCTACCACATCACTTGTTTAGTTCCCACCAGTTTACAGAGGAAGAACATTTTCCCCTCTGCACACTTCTTTCCTGGCACCAACTGAGATAGATAGTTACATTGCTCAGGGGGTGGGAGTAAGTTGCAAGTTGCTCAACAACATAATAGAAGCTACCATTCTTCTCAGATCCATGGCTCAGAAAAACAGTGTCTCTACTGTCCGGATTACTTCCAGCCTTATAAGCCTCAATTTTACCACATTTTACATGACACAGAAGAGTTAAAGCCACCTGTACACCTCAAAGCTTCCAAGTCTTGTCACAGAAAACACTAAACAAGTATTTAAGATAGTTAAGAGCTCAGATCACCTTAAGGAAGATTTGCAAGGAGTACACATCTTTTTTGCTTGTGAAAAGATCAAATCAGGAAACAAACTGTGTCAGTGTTTAAGCGCACAGAAACATGATTTTTCAAGTTCAGTAACTTGAAAAACTTTGGCTTCACTTTTGTGAGTAAACCTGGAAGGTCATTCTTCAACTATTCAATTTGGTAGAAGCAGAAGCTTACCAACTACTTATAACCATCAAGTTTACAGAGATTAATAGCACGTAAGTCTTTGTACATAAAGTGAAAATTCTCGTTTTGCTTTGCCTACAAACACAAAGGCACAATAAATAATACCTGTGATCTTGATGTGTTGATAATTGGAATCAGCATGGATTTTCCTCCAAGGACACCCTAAAAAAAGCCAGAAGGGATTAGGCAGTATTGTCAAATTCATAACTTCAGAGACAGTAAGGTCTGGTAGCTAGGATACTTAAAACTAAATACATACATGCATTGACAACCTCCACCTCATTGTTTGGTTTTGAGGGGGGTGTTTTGGGTGGGTTTTTTGGGGGTTGGGGTTTTTTGGGTTTTTGTGTTTTGTTTTTTTTTTTTTTAAGCACACATACAGCATTTCAGGTATTTCGACCTTCACTCTACCAACTAGACCAGATCTTGATTTGAGGGTGTGCCCTCAAGCATTTATGCTTCAGTAACAAGCTACACTAATCTATAGCTCTTTATCCTCCCTTTAAGAGGTCAAATGCTTTAGTCTGTATAGTAGTTGTAGTTTACATCAGTGAATTGAGTGGTTTAAAAAAAAAGTCTGATTTCAGGCATAGCAAGCAGCTAGATACTACCAATCATCTAGCAGTAACACTTAAAAGATAGGTTATACAGGTGTAATATTTGGGAAATGCAGACTGAAATAAGTTAAACTAAAAGGCATATTTTTGTTTACATCAATAAATGTGTATTTATGTGATGTAGTCTAGGCACTAGAACAGTCCAGTCAGCTTTTCAATTAGTCTATTGAGTAAAACCACTTCAAAATTACATTTTCTGTAGATCTCCTCCTGACATCATCTGGATTGCCCCCACCTTTGAATGCTGAATCCTGGCCAGTTAACTGGAAGAGCAGAATACACAGACTCAAAATAATTGCTATCCTAAGATTACCTTCGTATTTGGGTACAGCTTCCAGTCAACATATTAAATATATTAGTGGCCATTCTTAAAAAAAAAATTTAGACATGACTGCCATTACCACACAGGAATCTCAAGCCTCTCAAAAATCTTAGTAGCCAAACCTTGAAATCCATACTTGAAATATTCAATACTAGGTAACAGTTCTGCAAGATGATTCTTTACAAGTGTCAAAATTGAGATTTTTCTAGTTTTTCTTTGCTTCTGCCTGAAATCAGAGGTCAAGCCACAAGACCAGCTATTTAAGGAGATTTATATTAGCAATAAAACAAATCAAGCATTAATCTAAATCTTCCACAAAAATAAGATTTAGCAAGCAACTCCACAGTGCCATTTCAGTAGTGGGCTATTGAGTAGGCTGCTGATTTCTAAGGCAGCATAACTATCCACAGGCATTCAAAAAAAAAATCATCTCAGCAAGGTTAGCTCATACTTTTACATTTGTAACATTCATATCCTCTTCAATGAGATAGTATTTTTCTGAATTGTTTTAAGAACTGCTTCCAAACGAGCCAGTTCATTCAGCAATTGGTAAGTACAGTAGTATTCGGAGACTCTGCCACCAGACCAGAAGTGGTCACTAGTACCAGATCTTGGAAAAAAAATGTGTTTAACAGCTATACATTATATTCTTGTATCTATATGCTAGTAAAACTATCATTATGCTTAAATTTAGATTCCCAAATCCATTGGGGATATATATATATGCATTTCTTCTCAGTTATTTTATTCATTCTACGTCAATAATTAACACTATTTCAAACCCTCCTTGGCTTAGCCCTCCTTCCTTACCCTTTCTCCATCTATTGGTTTTTTGAGGCATTCTTCTGATGCAGGCAAACGCCCTTTAAAAGGCGGTAAATAAGGTTGTGTAGGTACAGCATTCTTAGGATCTGCAAATGGAGTCCCACTTAATTCACGCTGTCCTTGGACAAAATGTCCTCTCAGTTGAGAAATTGCGTTATGTCCTGGAATAGTGCAACCAGCTGGAGGTCCCGATGTTCTTAGTGCAACTGCAGCCTCCATTTCTGTAGGAGACACTGAGCTCTTAGTGTTCAGCCATGAAATTAAAGATTGCATTCCACCCACTACTTCAATACATACTTGAATCCATAGCAGGAACGGAGAGTCCCTTGGACACTCTTGGCATGGCCGTATAAGGTACCTTATTATTGCGTCTTTGATAGACAGTATTTCTGTAAGAGTCAGACACTAGAGTTATGACAAGCTAGTTTGTAAAATACTACACATTTTGTTTCCAGAAAGTTCATGCAAAACAAATGTCTATCTTCTTAGCTCGTTGTCACAGCTCTACTAAACACCACAAACTCACAGGCAATCTAGCATGAGATCTTAATCTCGCTGAACTTCAGACCACAAATTTAAACTTAAGCATTTTTCTTTAGTGCATCTATGTACTGGTACTGTTTTCCAGCTTAGTACACCCAGCACTCGGTGCTGCTTTTAATGGATGTATTTTCATTTTTCGCGTGCTACTCCTACAGTACCAAACAGTCCAAGCACACCAGACATTATACATTTGCTAGTACTGGGTTATTACTCTCAAGATTACATATTCCTCCTGTGCTGAAGTAGCTTACGGACAGACTTCCCAGGAAGCGACAGACACTTTTATTGCTCAAGTTCTTGTACTGCTCCACTAAGTCAGCAGCAGCTCTAGTGTTTTTTTTCCAAAGATTTCTTTAACCTGTCTACCCCCACGTGCCCAAAGGAGATGCCAGCTTTGTTCCTAAAGCCATTAGAGCCTTCCACATGCTTATGATCCACATAGATTCAAACATTCACATCGTGAATCAGTTAAGAGCAGCTTCTTCACAGTTCTAAGGTTATGGTGCTAACCTTTCCAGCTCTGCTACAGGAGCTTCTAATCTGAAGATCTTTTTTAACGAAGAAGAATTATATGGCATCCTGGAGCCCACGTCTCTGTGACCACCCGAACAGCTTCCATCCGTAGTCCTTTTGCATTGAACCACACTATCTTTTGAACTAACATCTGGAACAGTTTGCTGAAACAACAGTTAAAAAAAATGAAGTCTTCAAGTAATTATTAAATAAAAAAAATATTGTCAGAAGCAGCAAATTATTATTATTATACCTTCTTCCTTTTCTGTAATGCTTCTACAGGCAGAAAATAGTGCAGTTGTTTCCTTTTTACGTGACACACTTCTATCTTCATTCCTTCTTTGAATATGCTGATGTTATTCGCCTGGCGATAAACTAACATGAAATTTAGTGTTGTAGCTTAGTGGGGATGTTTGCATTAGGTATTTGTCAGTTACACATGGTTTCTTTAGAAACAGCAAGCCTTTAAGCCTGTCCAGCCCAGAAAGCAAGAAGTTTCCAGCCTAACTGAACATGAAATGGTACCCAAGCACTCCACATACAGTCTCAAGATGAACATGACCTATGATCCCCTTTTCACATCCAGTACAGACCAGGTACATCACAGCTATTTAAGTTCAAATATGCATTTATGTGCTCAGTTACAGCTGTGGTTTGCTAATCATGCAGCTCACATCTGAGTTGATTTTAACCTGAAGGAGATAATACTCCTTAACCATTTGTCTTCTGGTTGGGAAGAGATGTAGAGGACTTTCTGAGGCAACCCAGCTGTGCACAGCTGATGAGACCAGACACCCTACTCAAGATTCAGATTCTTTTTTTTTAGTTGATATTTACAGAGGCGATTGTTGGGTTTTTTTGTAACAGTTCTGTAACATCATATAACTTCCCAGTAGTTTAAATGTTAAAATTCTGTCTGTCCAAGAAAGTAAGACTGGATTTTAGGGACATCTGACTTACCAGAATCACTAAAGTTTAAACAGATTTTTCTTCACTGCTGGCAAACAGCCTTTTAGGCAACTTAAAAATGCTATACTAACACAGCAGTTATTATAGAATCAAGTCACATTTAGATAAGCTTATCTAACAGGCCTATCATGAGCATAACTGGAAAGTCAGCTTACTAACATACAGACTGGGAAATCAAAGTAAGGCTGCGCAACAGAAAGGCTAAGTCTTTCTACAGGAGACATATAAGTGAAATAAAAGCACAAATATGAACATTCACGTCAACGTGAACAGTTGCTTCAAAGCAAATTCAATAATGTTTTTATGTAAGTGAGATAAAATACACTTAACAAAAGCCTTCCAAACAATAAGCCTTATATTCTTGAGCCCAACAAGTTGAAGTTAATCTTTGCCCTCTAAAAACATTCTCTCAAAGTCAAGGCACATAATAAAAAGCTTTCTTGCACAACTACTGGTCACTCCCATATTTGCCAAAGGATTTCACACCTCTCAAGAAATACCTTTTCTGTTCAAGCTCTCTGGATTCAAACCCTATATCTGAAACATACTATAGGCTGTGCTTCACTAAACTAAAAGCACACAGCTACACTAGTAAAGTTTGTGCATAGAAATAAAAGATTTAACATTATTTCTAGCCTCTTAGCAGTACATAAACCTTGCTGACATAATTTACACTTGCCACAACACTGAAACACCGTGCCACTGGATGTAGCGTACCAGACAAGCATCAGTACAGATAACAGTGCAAGCCTGAGGAACTCACCTCACCTGGCCTGAAACTCGGACAAGAGTTTTGATGCATTTTTCTGTGCTTTCCTCATGCCCTAAAGCATGAGCTAAAATGAAGGTCAGGTTTTACCTCATTTACTTAAGTTGTCTGAGCAAGACAACACACAGCTCATGCCGGTGCTACGGATAAACTCTTTGTCAGTGCAAACATTCATTGAAGGAACCCACTCTTTAGAACTCTTTGTCCAAACACACTTGTCACTTCAGAAGAGTAACCCGCTTTCCTTAGCTCTTCATTATGATAGCTAGGCATGGGCCTGACAGCACACATGCGCTTCTGAAAGGCACAGGAGCTGTCAGCTTGGGAAGAAGTAAATACATTATGGAAGAGACCTACACTTTCAAATGACTCCTCACCCCAAACCCCCTTTATTCTAGCATTATCTAACAACATTTACAATATTACTTTATCTATCAAAAGTAATAACAGAAGATGAACATGAAGGTTTACATGCAAGATTGCATATAATTACAATGTGACAACTCACTGACTTTCAAAGTTCTGGGATCATATCATACACAACCTGTTATTTTGGAAAAATACTGACAGCAGGCATTAACTCATTTTAGAGCCCAATACAATTAATTCCCACTTTCAAAGTTCAGCAACTGACAACTGTTTGACAAGTGTAGCGACACCCAGTAAATGGGCATCTCCTGGCTACACATCTGACTGTCCACTTCATGAAACGAAGTCCCTTGGTGAGCACGTTTACAATCATCTGCAGAACTGTTATTTCACATACGGTATATAGTGTATGACTGTAGTACACACTTTCGTTTCAAGATGGACTGACTTTGCCAAAGTGTCAAAATAGTAGGTTTTTAAAGCTAATCTATATGTTGCTCCTTATAGAAAAATTTAATAGCTAGTACCAGAAAGAAGCACAATTCACTTTGTGCAACTTCCACCAGAATAAAAAAATGAAAACCTACAAGACTAGAGCAAAATATAGCCTTACCTGTATCAGTGAACGACTGTATAACATGTGTTAAATCAATATTAACACTTTCCGCATTTTCTGCTTTTTTAAATACAATCCCGACAAACCACATAGTTTTATAGCCACTCCTAAAAAGACAAAATTGACAGGTCAGTCATTTGGATGCTACTATCTACTCTCAAGAAGGGATGAAGCAAAGCGGTTTAGTTGTACACAGCAGTTTTAATATTAGAGTCAGTGCATACTTAACTTCTCAAAGTACTTCTCTTTGAAGTTCTCCTTTTAAAAAGGATCTTACATACTCAGAACTTTGCCTGCCAGAGCTCGTACTTACAAAACAGTAGGCGCGTTACTGAACATCTCACAAATGAGCTGAGGTGAATATGAACAAGCTACGAAACATTGGACAAATTGTGTTTCAGAAGAAAAATAATGAAACTCACTGTTTACGGAGTTCTTCCTTGACAGGGAAAGACTGTGGCTTTACATGTGCAATAGTTATAAATTCATTCCTCTCCAAGTTTGCAACCAGCACACGAATTTTAGATTCGACTAGGCCAATCCTAATAAGAACAAGAGATATTTACTAATTTTTAACTGTGTACAGCACAGTAGTTATATGGCTTATTATAATACAATGCTAATACAAAACTGCTAACCAATCAATGAGTAGTAAGTTTCATTCAGCTGAGTAAATACTAGATTTTTACATCAGACACACTGCAGTTTGAGATGTTTCCAGTGACATTTGAACTTTAAAGTTTCTAAAGACAGGGGTAAATAAGTTCAACTTGTACTCTTAACAGTTCAGATATAACACTTCAACCTATAACCTACAATGAAGGTCTCAATAAGAAGCAGATCCAGCACCTCTAGCTGCATTTTGAAGTGCAGCAAAGCTCCTTTTTTTACCCCAAAGCTCAAGAAGAGCAGTTTAGAAAAGGCTCAAACATAACTGTTCAATTACCCTTGAGTAAAGATACTAATTCTTCCTGCAGATTGATCAGTAATAACAGCTTACCCTCTTCTAGCTAAATTGAAAAATACAGCTCCTTTAATAAACAAATTATCTAGTCACAGTCTCATCAGCAACTTACCCCAGAAATGAATCATGGCCAGGAAGGCTTTTCATTTAAATAAAGTACTGGCATTTTACTTTTTTACATAAACACTGCTAACTTTGAAAGCAGCCAGAAACCTGTATGTTCTTCAAAAGTATCTTATATTGACGAACAACAGAGATGTGCTATCTATTCCCAAATTCATTCAAGAGCAGCTGAACTAAACTTGTTCTTACAGCAGACAAACTGAAGCAAGTTATCTTCTGCTTTTTAGTTTTCCCAGAAGCAAACCTAAGCCCCATTTGCCTCCATTTCTGTCACTGCAAAAACATCAGCTTTTACTGGAGCCATATCTTTCCTCATCTTTGAGAGATACAATAAGCTTTGTTCACTTAAAAACATTTCACATGAAAAGTTATTTGGCTCTAAGCCCTCTGCCCGTAACTCCTTGTTGTATACCCAACTGTGACTGACATCAAGCTGTAGCTGACACAATTTTTAAGTGAACCTATTAGAAAGTTCACGTAAAAGGTATGACCTATTAGAGCTACTTTGAAGTATAACCAAGGTGCCCTCAGAACAAGGGTCTGTTACACAGAGCTATTTTGCTTGCTGACTTGAGAAAAGCCAAAGTACACATTTCTTAAGAATACCATTTCAAACTTACCACCACCACACACATTACAGTACCTTAACTCCTCACTGTTTCCCCTTATTTCAAGATTCACAGTTAGTCAGCACATTCATATAGGTTAAACAAGTTATTATTGCCATATCTCCCTTGAGACAGTGACAAATACCATGTCAAAAGCAATCATTTCCTCTAACTACAATTGCGGTAGTTCTCACATTAAGTTTCACAAAGTGGATCAGCACTCCTGCAATTTACCTGTCCACTGCATGCTGAAGTGACCATTTTCAGCACTAAACATGTCTGAGCATACTACTAGACTAAAACTTCGTAAATACAGTTTGTCAGCATTCAGCTGCTCTGTGCAGACTGCTAGGTTTCACCCAGATTAAACAGCCTCGTTGCACTTCACTGGAGAAAAGCAGGCTCTGGAATAGCCTGACTACGTAGCCAGAACAACTCAGCATTGAATGCAATCTAGTCCCAAATTAAATATTACATTCAGTAAAAAAGTTATGAAACCAAGTCTAGGGCTCTAGAATAGTGGTCTTCAAAGTGCACGAACAAGTGTACAAAACCATCCATTGGGGTACAGAAAGTGTTAGAACTTCGGTAATGCGTAACTTGTAAATGAGTAGATATACATTGCAAGTACATGTTCAAAATCTTTTTTTTTTTCCCCTGATAGGAGTGCACAATCAAAAGTTTGGAGACCACTGCTCTAAGTCAGTAGAGGATATGTCCATTACAAATCTGATTACATCAAGTAATCCCTGTTTCTTTCAGTCTATGCAACAAGGAACATATTCCTAGCTGAAGTAGTGCTGTGCAATTAGTCTCCTTTGACTCCTTGCATCTGCTTCTCCAGAGGACGCAGAGCATCTGACCTTCAGGCATACTAACCCTCTTTGTTCCTTCTCATCACAACTCAGCTCTTTAGGTTAACTTCTTAACCAGCAAGATTGACATTAACTTCCCTTCACAAGAAGGCTTATAATTTTGCTCATGAACTGTCTACCTAACTTGGTACTGTATCCCATGCCTAGCTGCACGGTTTAATACTTGATTTTTAACTATATTAGCTAATGAAGTGCAACATTGAATTAAGTTTCAGTTATGTATTGAACCCACATTTAAAGCAAGACTTACCATTTTAAGCGATGCTCTTCAGTAGAGGCACTAGCAGTCAGCACAATGTAATGTCTAAAAGAAAAGGAAAATTAATATACCAGCTCAGGACTCAATATTCCTTCAAGTGAAACCAAAACTGCCTTAAACGTATAGAATATGACTTCCAGACAAGACAGATCATGTCCTTTATTCAGCACAGTATTAACTGAAGAACTGATTACATCCTTTAGAATTGCATTCTGCTGTATTCTAAATATCATAGTTGATTTTTTTCTAATAAAAATAGCATCAGTGGCATAACGCATACAGTTTTTCTATCTTCCCTATACTTATCCTTACCAAAATTCATATGACTATCTCCAGTTTCTGAAAAAACAAACATTAATGCCATCTTCTATTTAGACTGCAGTTAAAACTCACCATGCTAACCAGTGAGTAAAATATTTCAGGTTCAGACAACAGATTTCATACATACTTGTATTTCTGGAAGAAGTTCAGTGGTTCAAAGAGCTTTGACCAGTCCGCTTTTCCTTGGAGAATCTCATTTGTAACTGCAAGACCTACAATTAAAGTTAAAAACTGCATTACCATTTTGTTTAAGACTAGCAGAGCATGATATAAATTTTACAAGTTAAAGGTTTTGAAAAGTAACTGACAAATCAAAAAGCAGGAATTCCCTTGACCACAGTTCATTGTTAAACCGGTCCCATATTGCCCACAACAAGCATACTTCCCAGAAACCAATTCTGCCTAAAAGGGCAGAACACCTCATGGAATATAACTAATTCAGATAATGTGATTTCATATAGCAAGAATCATACTTTTTAGTCAGTTAATAAGCATGGAAAAAAACTTTACCATGTTTGAGCTCTTCCACTATTACCGCTCGTGTTGATGTAGACACGTTGTATGTGGAGTTCTGCTGTGGATAGGCTGGGGTGATGATAGGCATTACATGATATCGGTCTGATGGGTTCACCTATGATGTTAATACAGTTTTGCTTAGCATCAGTTTAAGTTAGAAGAAAGTTTAAAGGCTTCTGAATTGATATACTACATACCCTAGGGTCCCATACTGGTAAATTAAGATTGCTCTCTTCAGGTTGTTTCAGCAATACAGGATTTGGCCATTCCCTATGTAAGACAAGACATTAACTAACTGTCCATTTAAAACTCTGCCATGTAATTCAGGGCAGGATTGGATGTTGTTTATGTAAATATTGATATAAAAGGAGCTAACTCTAAAAGTGTTATTTCTTTCTGCAAGTTAAAATAAACAATAGCTCTTACCATTTTGAAAAAACCAAGAAGAACTTCTTAACAAGAGTAGAAGCCGAAGCATTTGGATAGAGCTGACAAGTTCTCGCCACCAGCATAGCCCAGGAAACACCACCAAGAAACCCCAGCATGTTGGAGTAAATGCTACGACCTAGAATGGATATGCTGTAGTTAGCCTGTAGTCTTTCAATACCCAAGTATATTCCTTGAAATTTACAGCAACAACTTCACAATCTATAGAATACTTCGTACACTTCAGCCTCAAAGACAGTTATTTTTGCAGTGAGGCCAAAATTGTTGGTCCTTACAGCAATAAGAAAGAATCATTACCACACCACTTCCCAAAATACCGCTAACTCTGAAACTTGCCTACACTGCTACAGCTTCACTCCAGCTTCCGTTAAGCTAAAAGTTCTGCTATTCTTCTAGTCCTTGCTCTAGCCGCATGCACAAACAGTATTTTTTCATTCCCTATGTATGAAGCTTTTATACTTCGCTTGGCATTTTTATCATTTGTAGTCAGGTTCCTGATAAGCAATGCAGCACCTTGCTTTGTAGGCATTCCCCTCTCCTCCCATTAAAAAACACAGACCATGAATCTAAACCAGTTTTGAAATTAAAGCCTGTCATTTAAGCAGCTATCCAAAGACCATTAGAAGTACTTCAGCCTTTTTTTTTTTCTTCCCTTCCCAGCATGAGGTACCTCTGAAAAATTTAAAGATCATGAACAATCACATTACTCACGTTTTGCCCACAGTTTAATTGCACGGAGCGTGAGCCGGAAGTTCTCTTTATTTGGCACTAGATGTAGTATTTGATCGGTAACTCTGCAGCCTGTAAGAAAAAAAGTACCAGAAGTTATTAGTAACAGGCACAAGTCAGATCAACAGCTTACAGTTTAACATTCAAGTCTATGAAAACAAGTTTGGATTACTTGCCTTGTATTACCTTAAAAGTTTTAGATTACACCTAACATTCAGTATCACTTCAGGTAACTGGTGCCCTCAACAGCTTTTTTAAATAGTTTAGACTACAGCCAGCAATTTTTAATAAGCCCTTTCTACAGGATTCGAGAGCTATGTGTCTTTCAACAGCCAGGAACAATTAAACCAGTCAGTGTTAAACAGTGAGCAAGTATTTTAATTTTTTTTTTTTAATGAACTACAACATTCTCTTCTCTATCAAGTGCTCTACCTATTCATCTGAAGCAGTTTGTGGCAAATTGGAACAATGCACACACCCAGATCAATGAAACATAAAATACAGATCTATGTAAACACACAACTCCTTGAAACATCTAAATTTAAGCCCACGTGCCACTCCCTCAGATCAAGTATACGGGAGATCAATTTCTGCATCTTGTACAGAAACTTAGGTTGTGTGATATGCATTCTACGTTACTTTTTTTTTTTTAAATATGTGTAAATATGCTTACCATTTAAGCTACGTATACATCTTATATCCAGGCTTCTCAAGCACGAGTCATCTCCAAGATCAAGATTATCAGACACAGTTTGTACAGACAGTCTGGCAAACACAAGATCGATCTGAAGAGGAAAAAATTGCCAACTGTGAGTTCGAAAGTCACACTGTGTGCGAACAGCACACTAGTGGGGGACAGTCAATTCTAAAGAGTGGTTAACATTTGCATTTAGAATTATGTGACTATAGATACATTTCCCAAGAGACTCATTTGCCAGAAAACTCAAGAAAATTGCTAGAAGTTCCATATTCTCTTTACAAAACCTTCATTGCATTCCTCCTTTCTTTTTAAGCTACGTTTTTTAATTGAAAAGATACTCTAAACTTAGAATTTCCATTAAAAGGGAACTTAAAATTAAGTTCAATCACCTCAACTATATTTCAGCAAAGGAAAGAGCATTTTCTTTATGCAGTAAGTCCTTTTGGTCCTGAGGTATCTGGTTTTTAGTACAGTCTGAGGCAAGAAAGTTATTCTGTCGATGTCTGTACCAGATAAAGGCCACAAAAAGGTGATAGACTAAATGTCTTTGTGATAGTGATACCAAGCAGTACCTTGCTTAGGTACTACAGCATGCAGGTGTTTATTCACTGTATAGGATGTGTTCAAGATACAAGGATTCCTGCAGGTGACAAACCTAGGCAGGAGTCAGATTTTCACTTTTCATCTTCCAGATTGTCTCATAACCACTTCGTTTTTGATATGCAACAAAACATTTAGTCTGCTCACATGATTCATACACTATCTGCAGTCCTTTGTAGAAAGCTAGCTTGTCAGAGCTAAGAAGAGTTAGCAAGGACACTGCCTCTACTCCCACTCTGCACAATCCTTGTGAGATAAAGGCTATTCAGGCAGGCTACCCTGGCAGGTTTAGAAAAAGATGTCCCTGCCTGATGTTCCCATGCCTGCCAGGCTTCCTAGAAGCTTATTTTCCCATAAGCTCCTATTCTACTGCAGTGTCTTCTCCTGGGATCGGTTGTGGTCAGGCTGTTCAATTACAGTTTCCTAAGTATACTTTGGGATACCAATAACCTTCCACAATAGCAGAGTCACAGGTCCCTGGAAAAGGTATCCTATTCCAAAGCAAGGGAAACATTCACTCACCCAAAGGAAAAATTGAAATGCTTACCTCAATGCCATCAAACTCAAACTTGACAACTGGTACATATGCATCTTCAACTGCCTGTAAAGGAGAGGATAACTGCATAAGAAACCATTCTTTGCTACTTTAATCTTTTCCCTAAAAAAAGATACAGTACAGAATTTACACTGCTAAGCTACTCAGTATAAAGGCTAAGCTGCTTCTGAACCAAAATAATTGTTAATAACCTGGAAGCAGTGTAGTACTAATACAATACAAATAGTAGCTTTAAAAAATTATTTAGCCAAGAGATTCAGGGGCTGATTACATATTATAATGAACAAACAATGCACAATGAGCCATCCGTATCAGTGATTGAAAGGTACTTACACCTCAGTAGCGAGAAAAAGAAATTTCTGTAGCTATCTTACTACCCGTTAACATCCAGAGAAATCCAAAAAATTCTGTCCACATTTGACAGCGTGCACTAGTCCCCTGTATTTTTCTTTTCTACCATGCCTGAGATGCTATCAGCTACCTTATGGGACAGTTTTCAGTTTTGTAGACCACTTATTAGAACTGTGCCACAGCCCACTGCTGTTTTCAGGTGACAGTCATCTAAACAAAGGCTCATTAGCTATGCATATGAAGTCTTTCAAAATGTCTGCATGAGCAAGGCCAGGCTAAGAGAAATGCTTCTCAGGAGTTCAGTTTTACATGCAAGGTACATAACATGCACCTGAGGGTGATTTTACAAAGCAGTTTTGTATGTTCACGGCGCAGTTCCTGTTAACTTTACGTAAAGCTGACAGCACGCATCCCTTCCACAAAGCCTCAGGCTGAGTAGCCAGAGAGGAGTATGACGAAAGAAGAACTAATCAGAGGACCTAAAGTACATCCAGAGGAATTCCACGGCAAAGGTCCTGACAGAAGTCTTTTCACATCACATTCAGCTTCCTTAGTTTGCAGGTTGCCTCTTCCTGCATGCGATTATTTCCAAGCCCCTTACGCCATCTAAGATTAAAGCAAGGCTCCTAGGGACAAGCCTTGCTTTTTGATACAGCTGACTAACTCCCAAAACACGGGTAGGGAAGAAGCGTACCACAAAGGTTCTTATGTAATTTACAGTCATTGGGGAAAGGAACTAAAAGCTTGACTTCAACACTTTCATGCTGCATACAACAGTATTTTAGAAGGTGCTCAGAAACATTTATTCTTTTTTTATTTTGGCTTATAAGACATTCACTACCAATACAAGTCTTTACCATGAATATTCTTATTGTAGAAGTTGCACAATCTATCAAGGACAGAGCTTACTCACTCTTAGATTGATCTTTTAGTTTTTCAAAGAATGACCGAAAAAAATCCGATCTTTCCACATGTCTAGGAGCGACACAAACAGCATCTATATCAGCACCTGCAAAGGGATTCCATTTCTTCTGTTATTGTTGGAAGTCACTTTCAAACATTAGAACTATGACCAGACAACAACAGTTTACCTTTAGTGTGTACTCCAAGTCTGTATGAACCAAATGTAAGTATTTTGCCACCCACGTTTTCTATTGTCGAAGGAGGAAGATTCTGTGGGTAGAAGAAAAAGAGTTTACTTTAGAATACAAGATAAACTTGCACAAAGGTCAATGTGTAACTAGCATACAAGTTATTTAGATTGACTACAACAGCCTCCGTAAACAATGTCTTCTCACTCCCATACCGAGTTGTTAGTCTAATAGACTGATACAGTTTTTCTGAAGTGAGCACTTGCAACTCAAAAACCGCATGAGTAATGTAACAGTCCTTTCCTTACTTTACACAAATTAAGACCTATTATTAGTCTTCCCTGCAGCAGACGCAAATAAATTAACACAATCTAAGAGCTATACAAAAGGCAAGTCTACTGTAATGATTTCAAACTCGATGGAGTGCTGCAGGCTGTTTGGGGCAAGATTAGTGCCCATTTACCATCTGTCTCACTCCACAATCCGTTGTTTCAGCTTTGTTAACTGCCACAAGTCAACTGATAGAGCCACTTCACAAATTTATTCAGTGTCCCAAAGACTTCAAGATCTTGATCTGAAGTGTCCTTTATACCTTGTTTCAATGGAAGTTACTTCAGCTCTACTCAATACTTAAGAGAGTTAAAAGTTAAACTTTAGCATAAGCCCTAGTAATATGGCCTTTAAAAGAAATAAAAAGGCTTCAGCTGTTTTGACAAGTACGTAGAAAAACCCTTACCTTCCTCACACCAAGTTCTGAAATCCATTCCTTGACCAAGTTATTCAGCTTGCCAAGAACCACCACCCTGTAAAGAAAACTATGTTAAATTTGCCTTAAAAAAAAAAAGCCCAAGAGGTTAACAATTTTTACAGTCTTGTTATACCTATGATTTAGTTCTTCCTCATCTTCGAACACTCCAAAAGGCTTCATTGCTTCAATCAACTTCTGAGTATGAATGGAATCGATATCTTTAGGAGGAGCCAAGCTAATCGGAGATGTAATTCCATAATGCCTTTGAGGCTGGTTTTGCCGCCTAGAAGTACTGTGGGAGAAAATAAAATACTGAAGACTTCACAAAAACAAAACAAAACAAAAATACTGGAAAATACCCTTCAGCTTACAGGTTTCCAAATCAACTTCTGATCTTTTTACCCAGCATTAACATAAGTGAGAAAAAAACGCTGCTTATGATGTTTAGATAACTTGACCTAACTTAAAAATAACAGCTACTTTTTTTAAAAAAAAATGAACAGATATAAGAAAAGATCCAAGTTGCTACCATCTTAATACAACTTAGTTGCATTACTCTAGATAGTTAGCACTGATCACCAGGAAATGAAAAAAAAGTTTTAAAGCCACTAAGGGTGACACTACCTACAGCAGAAGTTTTAGACACATTTCAGTTTTATATCAGTTTTGAGTTAAGGCTATTCCCATCAGCTTCCTGCTACGTTAAACAAGACAATTTAACATTGGCTTCTTTCAGTTAAATGCATTTGCTGTGCTTCTACTGATTCTGGGGACCTATAACAAAGTAGTCTGTTAAACAGAGTTGATGCAGTAAATTCAGAATTATCTTGGTTTTATTTATGGAAGAATATGAAAGAAAACATGAATCTGCAGCTAATGTTGCTAGGAAAGCCTCATGCTTTCAACACAGTGTTCAAGTGTTATAGTTCAGGGGCTTAGCTGTACGTACATCTGTTTTATCTAAATCCAAGAGATACGTGCCAGCATATAAACCAGCACAAGCTCTGTCTGTTTGAGGGTCCTCAAACCTGGCTTGGCCAGTTCACTGCCCAGTTAGGCTAAGCAGGACACCAGGCACCTGGGCTTGGAGACCCACAAGGTTACTGCCCCTGGAACTCCAATTACAATTCCAAGATATTTCTGCTCTGATAGATCCCAATTTTATACAAGAAGTTGAATTGATTTGTTCCAGGTTATGTATTCTCTATGTATTCTCTGGGCAGCATATGAACATTCACTGTAAAGGCACTTCTTTGACTTGTGAGGTCAGTCTGCCTCCAGTCAGGTGGAAACATGTCGCTTCAACCTCTTCCACCCTCCCCACTTGGGAGGGAGAATAACTGGAAATCAGCTCCTGAACCACCAAAATTGATAGCACAAAATAGAATTAAGAAAAAAATTAAAAAACCTAAGTAAAAAACCCAAACCCCAACTCCATGACCCCCACTGAGCTAACACCAGCTACACCTTCCATTCCTATCACACAAATTCACATTAAAAAAAAAAAAACAAAACCCAAACCAGCCCACAGACACCTGCTGGCAAGTTACGGCACCTTGTTTTTGACGCCGACATTAAGAAAGAGTCACTTTTTTTTTGTTTGTTTTCCACACCAAAGCCGGACGGGTGGCCCGCGACCAGCGCGGAGCCTCAACTGCCACCGGCCTGCGGCTAACCACGCCGTCACTAGGTTACGGCGACATCACAATGACGGTTCAGGGACAGTAGAACGTCAGGCAGAGCCACACCAAAAATCAGACCTGGACAACCAGGATTAACCCCGCGGAGCCCTTAACCCGTGCCCGCCCTCCCTGCCTCCATACAGGGGGAAAAAAAAAAAACCAAACCAAACTCATCGTGTAGTTTAAAGAGGACTTTTTCCCTGACGGGAAGCAGGTTCCTGCTACCTGAACCCTCCTGGGGTCTGCACCCTCCCGCCCCGCCACGGGGCTGCGGCGGGAAAAACCCCATCATGGAGACGCGAGGGAAGGAGAGGGCCAGGGCCGGGACCTCACCCGCACGTCTCCTTCATGGCGCGCACAACCCGACCCACAACCGCCGCCCAACG